CCATAAATGCAAGGGTTTCTTTAAAGTTCTGTATCTTTGCGGGAAAAAATGGTAGCGGTTTTTCACATACTGGAAATTAAAGATGAAGGTTTGTACTTTATGCTGCTGTAAACAGTATCACCAAAAAAAAATGTGGCAAGTCCATGCATTTCGTCAAACTTTGTAATTTTCAATATTGCAAACATGATCTCACATTTACGGTGTTATTGTGGTAGTGATGCATCAAATCTAAAATCAAACTACAGGGTCTTAAAGTAGAGATCTCAAGCTTTAATTTGAAAAAAAGAGCATAACTTTGCGATGATTTTTCACGGAGTTATCATCAGTCAAATTTGGCCAATTTTTGCCTAAAATTTTTCTATGCCATATTTCTTTTGAGCAGTGTAGATACTTTAATTAAGGTCTTTAGGGAAATGTAATACTGTATTGTAGCATGTGGCAGGCCATTAACGAAAGAAAAATGGTAGTTGTGTGCCACATATTTAGATGCAGACGAGAAACAATATGGAGTACGTGATTGATGCGCGGGAGATTTAAAACGAGTTATTTGAAATTTATGTATTCTTAACTGTTATGTATTATACTTTCTTTTAATACTGCTTCTTCTTTAAAAATGATATCCAGAAAGTCGAAATGAACTATCTAAACAGTATAAAATTCTAAAGAATATATTTTCTTATTACATAACTCGAAAAGTATCTTCAAACACACTTATGAGACATAAGTACATATTTTCTTAAATTCCTGAATTTTATTTAACGGCCGTTCATTTAAAAAAATGTATAAATAAATAACGAAGTTAGATCGTATCTGTAACTTTAAGAAAATGATCAAAATATGTTAATCACCAGAAACTGTAATCTGTGTTGTGTACGATCACATTTTAACGTCTATTGAATCTAATTTTGTCTACAAAATACTGCTCCTGGAAGTTTAAGCAATTAGAATATATTTACCAGCAGTTCTAGCTACTATAAGAAGTCTTCTTTCAGTAAACTCTCCAAGTTAAATTGCTGAAAGTTTCAATTTTAAATCGAGGAGTTTTAAAAGTGTTCTTAAACCGTAGTACCTTCAGTTCAGGAAATTTTCTGTGAAAAAGAGGTTGCATTTATTATAAATCAGTTTCTAATAATGGCATACCATGCCGATTGTTATAAACAAACTAGAAGAATGAAGCTTTATATGTAAGATATAAAACTTGTCTATATTGAATCTTATTGTGAATATTCCATATCTTTCTTGTAGATTGCATTATGTGTCATTCAAATCCTGAAGGTTCTGACAGAGACGGCCATCTTTTATTAACCTGCTCGATATTGCTCCTTTATAGGAACTCGACGGAATCGAAAAGATATTAAAAACAATCTGTGACATTTAAGAGCGATAAAACTCTCGTTGAGATTATTGACTGAACTTATAATCCTCACACTTTTTCCTTTAAAGAAATAATTTTAAACTCTCTCTGAATAATTATATATTGACATACTTTTAGTAATTTTTTGATAATCTCGATAATTCTTTTTTATCTAATTTTTAATAATTTATTTACTTGTTTATGGGAATTTCACTCCATTTAGAATTTTAACAGCAATTGATAATTTTAACAAATTTAGACAGTTTAAAATTTAGTTGGGAAGATGAACGTAGTTAAGTAAAAGCAACGTTATCATAATAATTGTATTTTCGCTTTTGCCCCCAGCGTATCCATTACCAGAGATCTAAAGTAATCGCAGGCTAATCAGAAATACCGAAGAAACTTGAAGTTTGTTGAGTGGCGCATATTCATATCTGAATTTCTTAATGCAAACTCGATGCATACGAGATACCATGCATATTTATGCAGATTCTTGAATTATATTCGAGCAACAGACTTCACAAGTATGCCGCTGCAAGAAGCTTGTAAAAGTTATGAAAACTCTTGTAATACGATCGATTCTCTACTGACATACGTGTTTGTTCATAAATTTCCTTCACTGAACTTTCGTAATAAATCACAGGTTAAGAAAAGGGTGCCTTC